TCAACTGTCAAGGTGATATACTCAGTAGAATGTACGTGTCTAAAAGGACACCCATCATAGTCAAGGTCACACCGGTGTTCTTTAATAGGATCACATCCTTACATGACCTCACGATGCATTTAAATTTATATTCTAAGGCATACCCTCATTTGTCTTCTACCCTCAGCAATCCATACATGCACGAGGCTCATTTTCGTACTCTGACTATGCTCTCGCTATTCTACCCTTGAGCAGTCCCAAGAGCCTGAGAGTAGCTCATCCAATATGACTTGAGGCCGCTTATGATCTAGTCATATATACACAACACTGAAAGCACACACATATATCTTCTAGCCTCATACATCATACAATCAGGACCCTGCTTGCTAAAACATAGAGTTAGGCTCACACAATTGGTTAGCTTGCTATCTCGACTTCCATGCCCACGTATACACACAAGTCTAGCAGGATACAAGGGTATCTTCTATCGGCCAGCTACAACTCGAACCTCGTCCCAATGTACACCCTTTTCATCTGGATCGTGCGAGTCCGCATAAGCGTCAACAATATTGACTAGGCTCATGAGTCCTTGACTATGGGGTAGAAATCTTTGGTCCAAGTACAGACCATATATCAGCTCATATGTATACCTCGCATAACCCCATTCTCGTGCCTTCAAAGAAGCTTTTATTGCGGCCTCTAGCCTTGTCTGTTTTGCGGGACCATATATCAGCTCGCATGTATACCTCGCATAACCCCATTCTCGTGCCTTCAAAGCAGCTTCTGCTGCGGCCTCTAGCCTTGTCTGTCCCCCAAAACACTTCTTTACTAGGAACTCGGGCAGCATGACTCGTAGCGGGGCCGAAGGTAGTACAAACTCTTCTGCACGCTTGACCTCGACATGGGTCACCACCTTCTCCTCTCCCTTATGGATTCTTCCACTTGCCCACTTTGTTGCAGCTTCCTCATCTATCCTCAGATGCCTTGCAACTAGGCTACCATGCCCAAGTGACAACTCGACCCCATGCTTGACCCAAAATGGGGAAGATGCATATAGGGTTACCCTTACGATCGCACAATCCTGAACATCATAGAATCCAGACTCGATCCAGGCGAAAATAACCGTCTCTAGCAACATACCCCACCAGGAAGAGATATATTCCTCTTCCTTAACTTGGCTCGACAAGGATATCTCGAGCCCATCTTCCTTTTCAATGGGCAAAGTCATACTGGGATCTTCCTTTGCATAAGGCATCCTGAGTTGCCTTCGCTTTTGTCCGGGTTCTGCCCATCACAGGAAATGTCCAGCATACGCCTTTTGTTACTATGCTAACAATCATCCTTTTTACACTCCTTACTCTGGAAGCCTTGGCTCCAAGCTGTCGTTTATTACAAATCCATACTTTCCCAGTGTTTACGACCACCCAGCTCAGAGAAAATAGTAATGGTAATATATCGCAATAATAGCACATTCACATATATCAAAATTCATAATAATATTTACTCATGGAAAATGATAAATCACCTTGATAATCCGACATCAACAATTCTTATAACAACCAAACGCATTATGTATAAGCTAGTCAGGTATCCAAAGCACATACAAATACATCATAATAAGCTTATATCAACAAACATTTCATACGATAGACACGTCATGATCAGAGATAAAGCCGCTAACAATTAGCACTCTCAGACATAATACCAACGAGAGTACCACATTTTACTCCCCTAGCTTTGACAGAAGTATACTATGGCGAGGGGCAGTGTAATCCCCTTTAGAAAGGATAGCATCTCAAATCCTCGAGCCCCGCTCGAGGATCAAGCCTCATTGCTTCTCCCTCTGATTCCAGCACTCGCTCCTTGCAGACCCTCGCCGACAAAGTAAACAACCTCACCATACACGCTTCGGGTTGCGCTATCCCGTCTTGTGCTGGTGAACCCACTCGACGCAAAAATAGTTGGGGATTCACCCCCTACCCCTCTGCGGCATGTAGTCGCTGCTTCCCTCATAGGCCATGGTCTGACAAGGCTCAAATACTTTCCTCCTATTCAGTAGTAGTGTAGTCATCTTATCACAGAGGATACAACAAAAACACCCCACTATGGACCAGGAACAGAGTTCCGGCGTGGGTCTCACTACTACTTACAAAACAAAATTATAACTTTTTCAAAGCCATCTTTCAGGGGAACGATAACATAGGATTGCACCCTTCCTTAGGGTAGACCTTACACATTGACCATTTCCTGGGAAGAACTTATCTCATGGAAGTGGTCACTCCATTCACCTATGAATCCGCATCAGACGTGGATTCCGCGCAATGTCTCTACCCCTCTTTGAAGAGCATAAGTTGATAATTTGACTTGAGAGGTTCATATAAATCCTTGCAGACTGATAAGTTCAAATACATATTTCAGATACATAGCCCATTGACAAGGATAACTATTAAAAGAGTATAATCATCAAGCACATAACCTGACATAATCTGACATTTGGCAAGCTTACTCGGATAAGATCTGGCATATATGGATGAGTTCAACATATAACTCAAACGAAAAGCCTTTAGAAGATACTAGTCTCAACTCCTTAGCTCCAACCTCATAAATTCAAGTGGATGGTCCAAACCTGGAATGGTTCAAACGAGGGCCTAACATCAACTACATCTCGTTGCCCTATTAGAAATAAGCGAAATAGTCTAAGTGTTAGCACTTTTACTGTTATCCTGATTGCCCCTAGAGTCAGATATCTTTTTCGTAGAGAAGTTACTATGCAGACCTACTATATCCCGTAGTCTCTTTTGGCGAGATCATAACACGATATTCCTTGCATCTATCTGTCGTTTTATATGCCGATTTCAAACACATCACGCGGGGCAGACCTTACACCTCCATGGCCTTATAAATCGAATAACCGCTTAGAACCCAGACTCAAGGATCCCAATCCATGCTCATAAAGGCTGTCAACCTCCTTAGCCTAACTCTTTTCAAAGTCCCTCGACGACTTTTAACATAATAGGCTCCCTTACTCATCCTCGACCCCACTCTAATGCCAAAGTACCAAGTTGCTCTCATGACCACTCAGATAACCTTTTCGACCATAATAGGTACCTTATAGGGGCCAACTTCCTCAATGGACGTTCTTAGCCATGTCGACCTCACCTCATCTTACCCTGACCATATCAACCATGCAAAGCAACGTCCAAACCCGTCAACTATTGTGTTCAAAGGGGGTACCAACTTCAGGTTCCATTAGATTAGTCAGAGTACGTTAGCGCACAATCATAACGTCTACCTCTAGTGCCACCCTTACTGCACTTTAACTGAAACCAACTCACACAATCAACTCTCACTCGATCTTTATTCAATACCTTCAATCGATTAATCATAACAACCAAAAGAAACTTCTCATTTTGCCTATTTCTCGCATTCCCATACCCAGATGTCGTTCCACCAGGTACAACGACAGGCAACCTTTATCCCCGGCAACGGCGCCACCTGTCGAGCGCAGTGGTCCGGCACCGCACTAAAGGGGGCGGGACCCTCCCGGTCGGGTCACGGAGGAGTCGGTCTGATCCTCGTCGCGAATACACATGGAGCTTCCGCAAGCCGCTCCGGCCGAGTGCGCCAGCCATACCTCTCGCGAGCCCCTACGACAGGATAGGGCCTACGCGAGGCACGACTTACCTCCACCTTACGGGAGTTGTCACCTCCCTTCGGTGGGCGTATCCCCGCCGAGCTGCCAGCCCACAGTACGAAAGCTAATCAGCTGCAATCGTTGAGGTGGACCAGCCGAGAGCGTTTCTCTTACGTTGTAGCATAGGGGGTTCGTGTGGTTTTACGCCTCTATTGGACACGCACGCGAACCGACGCCTTGGGCGGCTGAGGTCCCAAGCACGACCCGTCGTCGGTCGACTACGACGCATCCCACATACCACACGTACACCACTCTAAAGACATCATAATTAAAGCATGCACGCATAAGTCACAGGTAAGCGCACCAATCAGGAGAGACAACCTTCTTAGTCCTAACTTAATCAGAAGTAAAAGAAATATGGTCGGCGATCACGCCGACTCTTCAGTCATCAAAAAAGATCATGCACGCCTCAAATCAGCACACCCACACACTCCCTACTCTAGTCAACCATTCAGTCAATGTAAACCACAAGCGCAGCCGCGGGTCGCGCGGTATTTCTAAATCTTAAGTCAAGCTTATTTTCTGTTGATTGCAAAAACCAGGGCGGATACCCTTGTAAGGGTATTCGCACCGACAGCGGTAGAGGTAGTAGCGGCCATAGCCGCCATAGCTGGAAGAAGAGTGTAGCGTGTGTGTGCGTGTGTGTACAGTGTGTCGCGTGTGGGATATCCAGGGTGATCTCGAGTTGAGTGTGTGTGAACAGCGTAGTTGAGTACAGTGACGAACAAAGGGTTGTACAGGCGCTGATGCGCCATAGCCATCTGAAGTGAGCTTGTAACTTTGTTCTTGGTTACCATATCTCTAAGTTCTGAGTGGGCGCTTGTCGCCAGTTTGCTGCGCTACCTGTTTACATGCATGTGAAGTGTGAAAGATGGTGAGTCTGATTGAAGCACTGTCTCATGCAACTGTGGACAGTGTTGGCTTTTAATCCATCTGCTGACAAGAACAGTTCTGGAATGCTGCAGACGTGAATCACACCCAAAAAAGGGAAAATGAAAATAGCATTCAAAGAATGCTTGCCTGGATGTTCTCTGTCCAAACAGTCTTTGTCACTTATTCTTATCTTGAAATGGATACTCTTTTGGTGTGTTGGTTGCCAAATTGCCAATCCTTACTTTATTGGAGGTGGTTGCACATACCTCTTGATGAGTGGGTGCATAGCATGTTCCAAAAGCGCTATTGAGTTTTCTGCGTCACCATCTTGATAAATAAAATAAGATTGCCCAAGAATACAGTGCGAGCCCGCTGTGAAAGTTGAACAAAACTGTCAATTGCTGTCACACACACACACAGATAGTAACTTGTCCTCTTTCGTTCTGATGTGCAGGTTACAGTCGGTGCATCTTTTTTATCACAAACAGTTACTCTTCAGGATACCACTGTCAAATTTGAGATTTGGGACACTGCAGGGCAGGAGAGGTATGCACTATGATTTGCAAAACTAGACTCCGAAGTGAAGAGAAGAAGCATGTTGCGCAACACTCCGTAGAGTCCATACACAAATCCATCACATCTAATCAGTCAGTTCATGCTCAAATGAACTGATTACCAAGGACCAAAACATTCACCTAACAACCACTACTGAGATAACATTCATCGGGGATGCCTTGCTGACTCTTCTGTTGGTGTCCGCTTGCTCATCAACTCGGAAAAGCCTACCTCTTCTTAGGCCTGGCGTCCAGGCAACCATACAAGAATGAACTTCTTGGATCTCTATGGTCTCCCCAGTGCAGTGTCAATCAAGGAAGATGAGAGATGACACCTGCCATGGCTGCCTGTGAGTGAAAATATTGGTGGTCCTCCATGGTTGAAACTCCAATAAGCTCTGCTGTACAAACCCTGGCCTCGTTTAAGCCCTAGCATGGGCTGTAGCCAAGAACAAGATGACTAGCCATAACCTCCATAGCTCTAAGTTGGTCCGCGAAATTGTCAGTCAGACCCCTGGGTGTCATGGATCTTTTTTTTTTGTTTTTTTTTTTTGTTTTGTTTTGAAACAGCCCGTCGGTGTTAGCGGTGCTGGTAAGAGCAGACACCGGTAGCACCTGGGGGGGCTCCATCTATTGGTGGGGAGCAGCACCTGCTGGAAACCAGGTCCAGCGTCCCTTACATATAGCAGGACCAGCTCACATATTTGACAGTGTGCTCCTGCCAGCATTGATTACCCTGAGAGATCAGGGGATTGACTGAGCAGGAGGTCGGGCAGGGGCCTCTTCACCCTACCTTTGGCGCCAGATACCTGCACTTTCCTCCTGGCCCCCCCACCTCCAGCTCTGAAAAGGTTTCCTGGGGCCGAGTTCCGTAATCCTCCGGCGGCTCCCTATCCCATGGGACTGCCCCTAGCACCCATTCCCTTGTCGGGGTCCCCCTTATCCCTTTGCCCAGCCCTATCACGGCAGTCCCCCTATATTAAGGCTCGCGGTGGCTGCTATGCTGTGTGCAGTCCCTTCCTGCCCCGTGTGCCTTCCCCTTTTTTCGGTGTGCTCACTTCATCCCATACCATTGCATATCCACCATGGCCAGCGGGTGTGGGGGGAAGGGGTCGGGGAAAGCGGAGGCCGGCCGCAGCGGGATCCTTGGGTCCACCATTGTCCACTCCTTGAAACAGATGCAGTAGTCCCTGCTGAAYGACCCTCGGTTGCCTTCCTTACTGTGCCTGTTATCCTCCGGACCGTCTCTGCCATCCCACTTGATGAAGGCCATCATACCCCCGTTGGCGCTGCCCAGCCAGTCCTCTGAAAATTGCTGAATTTTATCTGTTATGTCTTTTTGTGTCTGAAGCGTATCAAGATGTTCTTTGACTTTCTGCCATTGTGCCCTGAGCTCCTGGTGAACGAATTGTTTCAACATGTCCGTCATTTCCTCCCCAGCGATGCAGACCCCCTCCATGATATRYATGCATCTTCTCCTCCAAATTGCCMAGACAACCGCCCTCCTTCCTATTTTAAACATATTATTTTCGAAGGTGCTATCTGAGGGGGAGGACCAGGTTTCGCATAAGATCGCCCTCCAATCCCACGGCCACCGGGAGTCAGTACCTAGACAGCTCCAGACTCTGTCCCACCATCGCCATGTGAGGACAGCCCCCGGGCATTGCAGAAAAATATGTTCGATTGTTTCAGGGATMTTTCTGGAGGGAAACAYYGAAACGCAGGMCKTGCACCACGGGAGCGCCYGTCCTGTWTGTTCCAGGTACGTGCGGTCGATCAGCCAGTCATTAGTRGGAAGGCAGCGGTGTKCTATCTGCCATTGCAACGAGGCCAGCTTTGCAGGCTTTGACCGCGTGAGGGCGAACCACCGAACAGGGCGGATGACATCGTCCCCCAGATTCAGATGGGATTTCCAGCGGCCCTGCACGATGTCTTTCAGGTTGACTTTGGGTTGCAGCAGCCGATAAGTGGTTTTCACCGAAAGGCTCAGTAGGTTCACCTTCTTAGCTGCCTGGAGTCTGCGCGCAGGCTGCCATTGCCACTCCTCCGGGTCTAGGGGGAGGTCCGCTACCCGGGTCTCCGGCCAGAATGCTAACCAGTCATCCTTTTTATGTAGCACCCTAATCCGGTACAGGTTGGCGTTTGGGTACCATCTCGTCACTTCCGGGGTGTACCTGGTTAGCAGATTGTCTGTTTTTTTGTGGAAGAGGTTTACCAACGACTCGTTCACACGCACCTCCACGACACTCCCCACACTCTCCGGGTCTCCCGGGACAGCTACCCAATCCCCCTCCTTCGGTCTTGGGCCCTTGCGCAGAATGCGGACCCAGTCCAGCGGGATTGCGAAAATCAGCTGTTCCAGATTCATTTCCAAGTTATGACAATGTTTCAGTGCCGTCCTCATCTGCAGGGCTGTTTTCCAGTCCATGCTCTCTGCATCCCAAATATCTTTGACCCTGATTATGCCTTTCCTCACCCAGCTGTTCCACGGGGGGGCCGAGCTGCAATAAACCCTTCCGTTACGGTCTGTGATCTTTCTGTTTCCAAACAAGGGTTGTCTGGCTACCTCCTCCCATCTGGACGGCCCGGGCTTATCCGGGAGCGGGAGCTGGCGCCAAGCCCTCAGACAACGGACCCAGAAGTCGTCTTTTGCCAGGTCACCACGGGCTGCCCCCCTGCCCGACATCTGGTCGGTCCGGGGGCGTCTCGGTATGGACCAAAAAAGGTCCTCCAGCCAGGTCAAGGGGTCAACCGTTGGCGGTGTTTGTGGGGCCAGGCGGGCGATCTGTTCCAGCGCGAGGGCACGCCAGGGAAGCTCCTTTGTAGATATCATCTTCTGAATCCATTGGACCATGAGCGCCGTGGTTTGAGTAGCGGGGTCCAGGATTCCCAGCCCCCCTTTATCCTTGGGTTGTACAACCGACCGCCAGGCGACTCTATTTATCACATTCTGCAGATCGCTGTTACCTCTCCATAGTAGCGCAGTTAGTCGTCGTTTCAGTGACCGCACCGCTTCCTTACTCAGCGCCCAAATTGCCGATTTGTACCATAAGGCGGCCAGAACTACGTTGTTTATCACTAACGCCCTTCCAATCAGGGAGGTGTGTTGATCATTACAGTGTGCCAGTTTCGCGAGTGCGGGTTTGAGGATCGCCTCATCGGTGGACGCCGGCCTTCCGGTTGCTGTTAACATAATTCCCAGCACTCTCACCGGGGCTGATTCCGGGAGCCATTTAACCCGGGGTAGCTCCGGGGGGCGCACCCCTTGATGGTGAATCCACCATCCCAGGGTTTTATTGCTCCAATTGACTGTCATGTCTGAGACTGCTGTGAACCTGTCAAAAAGTCGTCGGATCTCTTCCATATTCTCGCTAGTGGCATCCAACATCAGCGTGGGATCATCCGCGAACAGCGAGCAAACAGGGATTGCATCCTCCGGAATCGCCGAAATCTGCAGTTTCCTCAGGTCCTTGTTTGCTCGGAGGTTTGCCGCCAAGGCCTCCATTACTATTATAAACAGGAAGGGTGCAAGAGGATCGCCCTGGCGGACCGACCGTTGCAGCGGAAACGGTGGCGCAAGTCTGCCATTGACTTGGACGCTCGTGGTCGCATTGTGATGAAGGATCTCCGACCACCGGCGGAAAACTGGGCCTATGTTCATTTTTTCCATGCAACTGTCCAGGAGCCGCCAGTCAACGTGATCGTATGCCTTCTCGAAATCTATGAAGACCACCGCCGCATTGTGTGTTTGTCCTGCCTAGTTAGCTTGAGCAGTTCGTTTACCAACAGAATGTTATCGTGGATCCTGCGACTCTTAATAAAGCCAGTCATGGATCTTACCACTGGCCAACTCTTAATTTTACCAGAATGATCATGACCATGGTCTCCCTCTCTAGTGGGTGAAAAGGACACACCCTGCCACCCTTCAATTCTGCCAGACGGCAATGGGGCATGCCGGAGCCCTGCAAACTCGGTTCGCCAGCCAAATTGGGCTGGCCCAGCGAGGCTACTTTTCTTACGGCCTTTTGTCCGCGACCAGACTTGTGCAAGCTTTTTGGGAATAGTGGGCGGATGAAGCTGCAGAAGGATCTCCGCTGGAGGCGGATGGCGCAGCGATTCTCCTCGGAGCCATAGTGAAAGTGGATAGGACGAAACCTGCGGATCTACTTGCAGCAGAAATCATATGGGTGAGCGGTGGTACTATGGGCCCTGTGGACCCTGCGGAACGAACACTGCAGACATGGAGCATCCCACCGTGGCAGTTATATCAAGAACGGGCACTGGAGTATTAGAATTGCCCTTGTGGCGGATCTTCAGCGAAGCAGTTGTGCGGGGGGCCAAAGGGCCTGGCCATCTATCTGCAATTGCTCAGCTGAGACCCCAACACGGGCCATATGCAGTTCGGCCTCATCCTCATGCACTATATGCCTCGACCCGGGACAGAGGGGGAATCGGATTAGAGACCTCAAGCCAATTTGTACCATAGTTAGCAAAGATTATTAGGCCCGATAGTTTGAGGAAGGTAGATGTAATATATCAGGGAGGTAAACGGATGGGGCAAGTTAGATAGGAATGGGGTAGGATGGGGTGGGAGGAAGGACTAGGGTGGGAGTCCTCCGAAGGGGGTTAGCCCCTTGAAAACATGAAAACTTAACTTAGAACAAGAACGCTGGGAAAATTGGCGATAGATGAAGTACTGAAAATACTGAAAACACCAGGGTAGTCTGGGTGCCTACGGCCGACACCTACCATAGGCTGTAGGCGCACCCACTGGTCGGGCGACCCGTAGGCAGTCTGCCTACCGGTCGGCACACTGCCTTGCACTTTTTCCTTTTTTTCCCTGAGTACATGGCTGTTCTGCGCTTGAGCAGTAAAGTTTTTGGTTTTTTTATGGGGGGGGCGGTGGGGGGTGAGGGGGTTCTGCGGTGGAGTTTCAGGGGGTGTTTCGGGGGTTCTGTGGCGGAGGTTCAGGGGGTGTTTGGGGGGTTTGAG